GGGGCGCGTCAGGCGGGGCGGGCGCCGCGCGGGCGGCGGCGGCGGCGGCGGCGGCGGCGGCGGCGGCGGCGGCGGCGGCGGCGGCGGCGGCGGCGGGTGGTCTACTGTGCCGTTCATCTGGCCGGTGGCAGGGGGCGGCGGCGGGGGCCGGGGCGGGGGCTCGGCCGCCTTGAGGGCGGCGGGGGGTGGCGGCGGGGTCTGGTGCACCGGGTCCAGGGCTGTGTTGTGGACGACCTTGCTGAGTCCGGCTTCCTGTTTGATCTTGAGCTTGAGGCCAATGCGGCTCCGGGCCTCATAGGTCTTGATGGGCGGGCGGTTACGGGAGGGCATCGGGCCATCCTCGTCGGCGTCCAGGGAGGAGGCAGCGGAGGACAAGGCGGACGAGGACAGGGAGGAGGAGGACGCCCGGGCCCAGCTCACGGAAGGGGAGCCGCCCGCCCCACCGTGCCGGATCACCAGCTTGGTGGGCAGGTGCAGAGGGGGTTGGGTCGGGGCCCCAGACGCTGAGGACGGTGATGGGCCGTGACTGGGGAGCCGGTGTCCCTCGGAAGAGGCGGCGAGGGGGAGGCCGAGAGAGCGCGAGGAAGACACATACTCATCTGCAGGAGAAGGGGGCCAAGAAAACCCAGGGGGTTAGGGAAAGCACGAGGCGCCTGCAGAGCAGAGCTGAGAGGAGCCGGTGTACACTGAGCGCCTACTACCTGCCAGGCCTGGGGCTGAGCGCCTACTACCTGCCAGGCCCGGGGCTAAGCCCTTGACTCATCAAGTCCTGAGGACATACCGCTAGGTAGGACCCTTTCCCCAATTCCCAAGTCCCCCCAGTGTGCAAGCACAGGTCAGCACCGGAGAGGGGACGCCCCCTTCACTTCTGCAACCCAGGCACCTTGCTTGCTTCACCCCAGTCCTGGCTCTGCTCCCCTGCTCTTCTATCCCCTGGGGGTGGCAGAATGTTCCCTCCATCCAGGCCAGGATCGAGGAGGTGAAATGGACACTCGGTGATGGAGGAGGAGGAGGAAGGTGAGCTCTGCTTTCTGTGGTTTCAGAGCCGGGAGCACGCGGCAGGAAGGCGGGGCTCGGGCGCCGCCCAGTGGTGGGGTGAAGTAAGGCCACGCACCCTGCTCCCGCCCCAAGTCTAATTCGTTGGCTCTGGCACTGGGCACTACGCGGGTAGGAGTGGGGGACTGCGCCTCTCTCCCCTCTCACCAGGCTTCTCCTTGGCCAGCTGTTTGTCCAAGGCCAGCGTGGTCTTTTCCTCCTGAATGAACATTCGGTCGATCATTACCATCTCCGCTGAGGGGCTCACCCTCTGAGGGGGGGAGAGAAGAGAAAATGGGCAAATGAAGAGGTGAGGTGGGGGAGGGGAGGCGAGCAACCGGCATGGATGGGAACACATTCCAAACTGTCCTTGTGATCCCACCCAGCCCCCCTCCCTCCTTCTTGCCCAGAGGGGGTGAGGGGAAAGGGCAGGGTCCCCCGGGGAAAAAGGTGACGGCCACCCTACCCGGGACTCCTCCAAGAGCAGGAGGCGGTATTTATTGAGCATGGCCTGGGTGCGTTTCAGCAGCTGCGTGGAGACCGTCTCAAACTCCTCGTCCACTGTGGAGGAAGAGAAGGGGTCCGGAAGCCCAGATGTTGGGGACCTAGGGACCTGCAGATGCGCACGGAGCTGGGCGCATCCTGACCCACAGTCAAGGGCGCGTGCAGAGTTGCACTAGCATCTGCTCCTCGGCACCCTCTTCAGTCCTCGCCACCCACCTCCACACGCCGGGGACAGGGTGGGGAGAGTCCCAGGGGAGGCCTCACCTTTGTGGTAGTCGTTGGGGGAGGGGAGGGCACCCTGGTAGACGTGGTAGGGCAGGAGGCGATGCAGGGCGTCCTCAAAGGAGGGGAAGGCCGTCTTGTAGTCAGGGTGCAGGACGGAGCCCTGATGTTTGTGCAAATGCTCCAGGAAGCTGGGGGTTGGGGAGGATACACACACACACACACACACACACACACACACACAGAGCTGGTGGTGAGGCCAGGAGACTGTAGATCCTGGACCCTGAGCCCCAGGCCACAAGACAGAAAACGACGGGACAGGGAAAGGAACCCTAGGGGAGTATGTGTTAATGGGTGCTGAATGTGCCTGTTCTGCCTCAGTGCATCTCTGGGGACAACCAAAGGCAGTAGGCGCACTATGTCCATTTTACAGATGAGGAAACTGGGGTCCACAAAGGTGAAGTCCCTGACCCAAAGCACCTACAGCGAGGAAGAGGCAGTGCTGGGAGTCAGAGGCCAGAGCTTGAGACTCAGCTTCCATGCAATACCGTCTCCTGCCACCTGGGGTCAGCATGTCCCCGCTCTGCCTCTGACCCAGCAGCAGGCTTGGGGAGGCGGGCAGGGAGGTTGGGCCCCTGGTTGGTTGGTTGATAAGATCCTGTTCTCTCAATGGGCTGTTTTCTAGCCCAGCACATAAACATGTACGAATGTACATCATACCCCAGACATAATGTCCCACCAGACACGCTTGGCTGTACCCTGTGCTCTAGACCAGCAACCCCTGCACATCACGGGGGCAGGACCCGGTCTGGCTGGTGTTTCCAGAATCTAGCACAGGACTGGGCACTGTATGAGGACACGACCAACACTCTCGGTGGAAGGAGGGCAGAAGAGAGGGATAGAACGCAGGCAGGCCGCCCATCCACCCAAACATCGGATCAGCCACGTACCAGTCTGATTACCATCCATCCATCTATTCGCCCAGGCCCCCATTCATCCTTCCACCCGCCCAAATGCTCATCACCCATCCCCTGATACGAAGCACTGCCTGCCCCCAGGCCTATTTGAGATGCTGGTGGTGCAGAGGTGACCAAGCCATGCCAAATCCCTCCCTCTTGAAGCCAGCAGCCTAGCTGTCTCATGAATGCTCCTAATACAACCTCACCGAATCCTCACCCATCACCCTATTTATCACTACTATTCCCACCCCACTTTCTAGAGGGGGAAGCTGAGGGTCTTCAGGGAAATGGCACTGCCCAAACCACAGGGCTAATGAGAGGTGGAGGGACAGCACAGGGTGGGAAGGCACGGGGACCGGGCACTGAACTCACCAGGCTTCTTTGCTGGGCTGAAGGGTAGGTGGTTTCCTCAGGCTGCTCAACTTGCTCTCATACTGCAGGGTCGGGGGGTGGGGGGGGTGGGGAGGAAGAGGCCAATGAGAGGTACTGCGACGGAGGAGCCTTCCCTTGGCCGCCTGACCCTCTCTACCCCCCAGCCCGGGACAAAGATGGGAGGGGGCCGACGTCGCCCGAGATGGGGTCCTGGTCCCAGCTGCGCTCTGCCCATCACATTCAACCTGCGGGGAAGACCCGGGCTGGACACGGTGAGGAGAGGGTGACAGGCAGGCTCGAGCCCTCGGCGCCCTCCGCCTGGGTCCCCTCCAGCCCCTTATCCGGCCTGGGTCTCTCGGCCTCCGCCTGGTGTCTCCCTCCCTGCCCACCAAATGGCCCTTGAATCCCTCGTCCTTGTCCGGCATCTGATTTGCAGACTCTTCTCATTTTGCCTAAATCTCTCTCTTGACTTCCCTTGGTCATGCCCGGTCTTCCCTCTCAAGCTCTTTCGAATCTTGGTCTCCGCCTCGGTCTCCCCCAGACCCCGCACACTCCCTGTCTCGCCCCTCCAGCCTGGGTACCACTATCCTAGCTCTCCCCCCAGCCTCCCCCCACTCCATCTCTGCCATCTCTGTTTGACTCAGTGTCTCACTGCCCACCCCGCCCTGCCCCTCCGTCTAGGGTCTCACCCCACCTGTCCCGAGCCCATGCAGCCCCTCCTCCTACAGTCAACCTCTCACCTGCTCCAGTCCCCAGTGACCGTCGGGGTTCTCACTCAAGCCATCTCTCCTATCATCACCCTGTCATTTTGGTGTCCAGGAGGGGTCTCTGTCCAACTATCTCGGTCTCCCATGTGTGCCCCCTCCCGCCCAGACCGTCCTGGTGTCTCACCCGTTGCCAGGCTGTGTCTCATCTGCTCGTCTCTGTCTGCCGGTCAGCACCCCCTGCCCCTCCGGTCCCCATCCCGGTTTCCCGGCGATGTTGCTCGGGCCCTAGCCCTCCACTCTGGCGGCCCCTTACCTGCAGCCCGGAGGACTTCCCTGGCCCAGATGCAGTGGCCTTGGCCACAGTCAGGGTCGGGAGGTTGCTGGCAAAGGCTTTGCTCTCGGCGGGAAGCAGAGGAGGGAGGCCTGGGGGCGAGGTGGGGCAGACAGGACTCAGGGGTCACTGGCGCGAAGGCGCCTCCAAAGACGTGACCCTGCACCCCTCACTTCTCTGCTTCTTTGGCCTCAGTGGCTGTGTCAGCCCTGGAGGGAGTGCCCCCGGAGGGACATCTGGAGAGACGCCCTTCCTCCTCCACCTTCCCTGTGCTGGGAGGTCTGGACGACCCCTTGGGCTCACGCCCCCCGGGCTCTGCCCTAGCCCGTCCTCCCCGGCCCCCAGCCCCCCATCCACCCACCTTCGGGCCCCCCCCAGCCCTCGAGCGTGGGCCACCTCTCCCCTACCTGCAGTGGCCACGGGAGCCGGGGCCGGGGCATGGCTGGGGGCGGTGGAGGTCCCAGATGGGGCCTGCCCGCTGACCAGCCCGGAGGCGGTGGGGCTGCCGAGGGGCCCCAGGCTGGCGGAGGTCTGCGGGGCGGCGGGGGCGCCCACAGCCTTGCTCTGGAGAATGATTCCGGACGGCACCTGAGGAGGGCAACAGGTGGCTGGGGGGCACACGCTAGGAGTGGGGGCGGCCAGGAACCAGGGCTGGGGGCGAAGACAAAGCAATGAAGTGCCAGGGGCTCCAATGGGACTGAAAGGGAGAGCGGGGCGGGTGGGCGGCCGGTCCCTGCCTCCAATTACCTGGTGAAATCTCTCGAGAAGAGCCTTCGGCTGGGGCAGCGCCGGGAAGGGGGTGGCCACCATCTGGAAGGTCCGAGGAGGCGGGGCGGGGGGCGCGGCGGGCTCGGGGACCAGGTGGAGGGTCGGAGGGGGCGTGGGGGACTTGTGGGGCCCCTGGCCAGGGGGGGACTGGAGCTGGAAGTC